CGCATGGTACACCGCCCCCCGAAGAGGGCCACCTCCCACCGCCCACCGAAGTGGGAAACCTGCCTGTGCGTTTCTTAGCTTCGCGCCCGGTTGGATTGCCGGGCACTACTGAGCCCCCCCACCACGACAAGGTGAACGCACGTTGGAGGGGGTCGGTATTGTTGACCTGATCTATCGGCATTTTTTATTTTTCAGTTTTATAATATTACCGCTGGAGCCCATGAAAATTGGCCTTATTACGCTTTTTTAAATGTATTAATTTCGTTAATTTTGTGTGTTTTTTTGAATATATAATATATGTATGATACTATGATGTCGGACACGATAGCAACTGATAGCAGAGTGGACCGTGGGAGCAACGCCATGGTTGTTGAGGTCTGCTTCCTGCGGCGCCCGTTTTCCCGATTCCCTACCGATTTCGGCTACGGCGGCCAATATGATTGCCACTAACTAGGTGTTATACTCACTAGATATTATAGTAAACAAATGTACGCGCAGGCACCAGTGCACTCTCTATTCCTTTCTCTCTCATAATCAAATACGAAAGGATGGGGATCCGGCGCAGGACCGATGGCTTACGTGATCTCCGAGGCACGAGGATGAAACACCGCCAACTTTCCAACTTGGTACAGTAAAAAACAAAAGGTACTACGCGAGCAACTAGGCTTGCGTATTATCTTTTGCGTTTTAAGCTACTAAGCTTAGCGAACTTCTCGTCTTCGAAAACTGGTTAACTTATCTCAGACTATCTCATACTAAGTATATATATGTATATAACATTATGTATAAAGAGGTAAAGTTTGTGAGATTGTGAGTTAGTGACGTTGTAGGAGGTAATCTCTGGATCTACTGAACCGATTTAGATGAAATTTGGTAAGAAGATAGTTTGAGACCCTTGGAAGGACATAAGATATTTTTTATCCCGGAAATCAACCCTTTAGGGGGTGAAAATTGGGATGAAAATTTGTATTGGGAAGCATGCTAGGGACGAACCCGAGCGAAGCGAGGTTGAGTCGCTAGTAGGTTATTATAACAAGAACTTAAATTAAACAAAAAAAATATTAATAAAATAATACCTACATTTTAATTTCTTTGAGCGGAACCTTAATTCTTTTACTGAAATAAAAGCCTAAGCTACTCCTTATAACATCAACATACCAGTGAAAGTTCCGTCAAAATCGGCCCAGCCGTTTCGGAGATTGCCCGGAACAAACAGACAGACAGACAAAAAAATTAAACATTGTGTTTTTCTTATAAATACCGTATATAATTCCACATGCATTTAATAAAAAGCTGTTATTTAAACATTACAAACAGACATTTTAATTATATTTATCTGTATAGATATTTTGTAATTGGTTTAAGTAGTAAATAATTGGCGTCTGAAATCCTCCATTTTAATTTTTAACTATTTTATAGGTATGCTATGACACTAGCGTTATCAAAACGAATCTAACGACGCGACGTCTGAATCATCAAAATTGGCCCACGCGTTTGATCTCTAGAACGCCACATAGGAACAAATATACATACATACATACATACATAGACTGATAAACACATTACCCTCCTTTACGTCGCGCAGTATCTAATTACGTTGACAAACCAATCATCCAGGAAGTATAATATTAAATGCTTATTAACATCATAACATGCAACTTATCATAATTACTTGCATTAATCCACTTATCATAATTATTTGTAAAGGAACAATATCTGCTGACAAGGGTTTAGCTACTCGATATTTACAGTTTTAATGACGTTTAGAGATCGATGTTTACTTGAAGTGGAGTACTTATATTAAAAATAATGAATCAATATTTATTATTCCACGAGAGTCAATAAGTAATACCTATATCTAAAACAGCTATCGTTTTCCCGCGGTTCCGCTCGCTTAGTTTATTTATGTATAATTATTTCCCTCTTAAATTTCACATCCCCTTTTCAACTCCCGAGAGAGCTGCCGTCTAAAATAAAAAAATAATAATAATCGTAATTTTTTATCAGAAATAATATTTCTATTTAGGGTACCAGAAAAGATTACGAGTTTCTAAAGACTTTAGATTAAGCAGTACACTATAGCCATGGACGAATTAGAGACTGGACCTGACATAAAATACAAATGTATGAAAACTAGTTCAACCAAGTGACGCATAACTCACACAAAGATTTTATTACATTATTATAAACACTGATACACAATACAATATTTCTAGTGCTTGAACGTAATCGATAAAATACATATATCGATGAACTAATGAATGACATTTTAGACATTTGTAAGCATAGTCATCATATTTTACTACTTTTAATTTAAAATATCTGTAATTATATAATAAATTAAAATAAATAAATTAATGAGGCAATGATAATGTGTCAAATAATAATTAAATAATAAATAAATAAATATGTTGGGACATTAACACACAGCGCCATCTAGTTCCATGGTAAGCTACGAGGCTTGTGTTATGGATACTAGATAGTTGATACACTACACATATATAACTTTAAATACATACATATTATAAATATAAACACCCATGACTGGAGTACAAACATTTGTCATCACACAAATGAATGCCCCCAGCGGGACTCGAACCCGCGACCGCTGGCACAGCAAGTAGGGTCACTACAAACTGAGCCAAACATGTCATCAAACATATATTTTTTAATTTGATTTATATAAATACGATGGCATTGATGGCTACATTCTGTTGGCCTATAATAATGTTAATGAACAAATGAATATCGGGTGTATATTCCATTAATATATAATAAATATTATTTTGTAAAGATTAAAAAAATATTAAGCTAATTTAATTAAATAAAGTGATTTTGTTGATTCTGTTATTGAACTATTTTAATTGGCAATTGATTGTCTCGGGTAGTTATAAAAATATGATACTTTCCTAATATTGCTCAGTTCTTAATAAACATTTGTGAAATTAGGAAAAAGAAAAAATGATCGCAAATTGTGAAAAAGTGAGTGTTGGATCGTGAAAGTAAAATAATTAGTGCAAGTGGTAAAGTGTTTTATTACAAATCGCCAACCCAGAAGTTTAGTGCTATAACATTATTGTTTGATTTTGTGTAATTTATGTGTTGAAATAAAATGATCTTTATTATTATTACAATGGAATAATATTCCAGTGTATAAATGTGGTATAAAAAAAAAAGTACACATACTAATTATAATTTTTGCATTTATATTTTATTTGATTCAGAAAATATTATAAATTTATTGTCATCAGATTGTAGGATACTGTGATAAAATATTTTATGTTATTGTACTGTACAAATAACACAATTCGTTCAGTTATTTCGTCAAATATCGATATATTTTTCGACATTGTCAAGCACAAGTCGCTGTCAAATGGACTCACTCGACAGTTTTGTCATTTGTTCTGAATGGTATAATCCTGCCCGTTTATGATGGTTGTCAGATGTCAACAATACATAGAAATATCGACTATATTTAACATAGTTGGATAATATGACATTTTATTTTAAATTAAATTGAATTTTGTGATAAATAACAATAAATGTAATAAAATAATGTATTTACAAGTGAAAAGAAATAGTGTTGCTTCCGCCGTTATAGTTTTCACACCATTTAACAGAACATTTAGTCATTTTTGGGAGATGTTTTGTTGACAAGTAAGTGCTTGAGACTGACACAAAAAACAAACGACCTAGGCTAAAATTACCCTGGTTACTAACATGACCGGTGAAGGTACGTCCGCTTATATGTCTGGTCCAGTGGTTAATTCGCTCATGACTATAGCTTAATAGACCGATATTAGAGTTGAGTGAGTTATATTATAATCTTGGGATTAGACAAGATGTTATCTTATATTAGTTATAGAAAAGAAATTTAAAAAATGGTCTCACTACTTATTATTATAAAACAAAGTTCGAGAACAACTTTACAAAACCATAAAATTATATTTATATGAAACACGTAATTATATTCTAAGTCCTTACAATTATGTATGTGATGTCATGATAACGAAGCAGTAATTATTTTGTAAGTATTATCGACTTGAGTTTGTTTTGTTATACAAGTTAACTAGCTTTCTTTGCCTTTGCTTCGCTCGAGTGCCTTCCGTTTTTTTATTGTTGAGAAACGCATTTACGTATACCACCTGTATCTGTACAGGTGGTTATGTAGGACTCACGGGGTAGAAAAGCTAGTACTACCTACTAAAACCCAACAGCACCTCCTCCGTCTTAATGGAACGTCGCAGGATCCCTTACCGACGGCAGTCCTGCCAAAGCAGACCACACAACCAAGGTCTTTTATTATACGTTCATTGATAGATATGTAGATGTATCCTTAAACAATTTCTTATGCCTTTTTCTCATTCAGTAACACGAATAATATCAATAAAACACAATATCAGAGACAATTCGGCGTCAGAACTAAATGATAGTGCATTAAAAATTAAAAAATAGCAAACTAGCTTTTTTGTGCATTGCTTGAAGACAAATACATATTTGTAGATACAAAAGTATACGCATAATAATTTCTATTCTATTCTTTTGTTTAATGGCTTCCAGGAGTGCCAGTTGGGCACATAATAATTTCTTTGATTTATGTGAATATTTGACGTTATAAATAAAACATTTTTTTCGATTTTTTTGCAGGTTTAATTATGATTCCCGACGTTTCGAGTACTTTACAGTGGTAGAGGAAAAAAAACTGTTCACTCACCTCTACGTAGATTTATTTATTACGTAATTAATTACATGAGTGCAACAAATTGACAAACAAACCGTATTAGAATAATATCGCCATTATATAAAGTGTTGTAATAGAATATTATCACCATTATATAAAGCGTGGAACTATATTATAATTCAGCTAATATATTATTTATTTCTTGTCGCTTTAGAACTCATTAGCATACTTATACAAAAAGAGATTTGGTGGTATAAAAATTAACGCCTTGATTTCTGTCCCTTACTTTTCTGTGTCCTCCAGCAGAGCGTAAACTACAATGAGCTTTATCAACAAAGTCGTAATCGTTACTGGTGCAAGCTCCGGTATAGGCGCGGCTACAGCTGTGAGCTTTAGTTCTGAAGGTGCTCGCGTCGTACTTGTTGGGCGAAATGAAGATAAATTAGCAGCAGTAGCCAAAAAGTGTAAAAATCCTTTAGTGGTACGTGCCGATGTTTCCAAAGATGAAGACGTTAAAAAAATAATTGACCAAACAATAAAAAAATTTGGTCAGTTGGACGTGCTAGTTAACAATGCTGGAACTGCCCTAGGAATGAGCAGCCTGATCGAAGGTGTAGACATGAAAATGTATGACAGTATCATGGCTACGAATCTACGGGGCGCTATTTATCTGACAAGTTTGGCTGCGCCGTATTTGATCAAAACCAAAGGTAATGTCATAAATATATCGAGTGTGGCGGGAAAGCTGCCTCCAATTAAGCCATCTTTTATATTTTACTGCATTTCAAAAGCCGGCATGGATCACTTCACTAGGAGTGCTGCAGTGGAACTGGGGCTTCATGGCGTAAGAGTTAATGCAATCAGCCCAGGACCAGTGGTTACCGATTTTTTGGAGAATAGCAAACTGGATTTGGAATGGGATAAATTGTCCGACATAACTATCCTGAACAGTGTCCAAATCGGAAGAAATAGCAGATTTAGCGATATTTCTAGCAAGTGACAAGGCTAAGTCGATCACAGGTTCCGACTATGTGGCAGATAATGGCACGCTCTTAAAACATTAAAAAAATAAAACGCTACATATTATTTTCGTTTCTATTTTTACACTATTTTGTTATTATTATTTTTCATAATTTTAACTGTTTATACAAGTTGTAACTATTTATACATAATATATGTTATACCTTATGACTATTTGTTATCTGTATAAGTTTTAACTATTTATATAATTTCTACCTATTTACGAATATTTTCTTTACTTACATTTAATTTATACTGGCTTAATAAATATAGAATGAAACTAGGAATAAATATGAAGTCTTTCTTCCCTTCTTTATTTCTGTCTTGGACATTTATTATTTAATCATTAACATTTATATTAGGTTTGTTTTTATTAAATTAATCTTTAAAAGCAGGTGATGCATGATATAAATAAATTATATAACGTTCACCACCAGCAATTTTTTTAAAAATCTTAAATCTAGGATTTTATATTAGGTACTTAATGAGATTGTTGTGACTTTACAACAATGTCTTACTTTAGAAATAAGGATCCATTTAAATATCACCTATTTTTCATAACTATGGGACACATGTAAAAAAATTGAAGTGTCTGTTTGTAATGTCAAAATAACAGCGTTTTACTAAATGCATATGAAATTATATACGGTACTTATAACATGTATATTGTGCTTATAACTTGTATATAAACTATATACCTATATTGAATATATCTGACTTATGATGCGCAGAAGGGAATAGAAAAACTTTGGAGTGTATATCTTATACTATATATATTATTATATAAAACTGTAGAGGTCGAATGTATATAAAAAAATATTCCTATTTGAAATTGTTATGTACAAACTGTTCAATATTTACCGTCTAATAAATAAACAACTTACACGTAATATATTTTAATGTATTTAATATATATTCATAGTGATGTTCAGAGGATAGCCGTGGCCGTATAAGTAAATAAATAGATTTAAATAGCCAAAAAATCCACTCATTTTAGTTATGTAAATCAGCGGTTCCTAAATCGTGGTTCGCGGAACCCTTATGTTCCGTGAAAGGGTTGGTCACAGGGGTTCCGAATTCCAACCAGAGTTAAATAAAACATTGTCAGACATGAAGCGTGTTACTGCTATTACCTATAAATAAACATGTGAAAGAATTTCAATCATCACATTAAATAGTTAGGTTATATATTTGGAACAATAAATATTATTATAAGTATTAATATTTTTCTTTTATGATTTATTCCTTCAAATCAAACAAGAAAGTATTCTAAGTACAACTCAATCAGCTGAGTTATTAACAGAATGGGGTCTATGAATAAAATATGAGCAATTATGGTTCCGTGCTCAAACAAATTGGGAACAGATGATTCCAATCACCACATTTATATTTTTATGACAAATAAAATGACTTTGTTTTTTATAAAAATAGAAATTTAATCTTGCAGACTGTTGTTAAAATGAATATTGTATATATTTTATATACAACAAAAGACTTTGCTATTAGATTTCTTATGTTAAAACGACATAAAATAAATGATTCGTGCTACGGAACCCTCGATACACAAGTTGGAATCGCACTTGCCCGATTCTTTTCTAATTGCTCTGATGCTAGATGTTATTTTTAGTACAATAAAGCTTCAGTTATATATTTATATGTTTCAGTGTGCGGACTCGCTTACCAACAGTTTATCATTTTTAAATGTTAAAGCGATTAGATTGGTTTATCTATTTTTATTAAAAAACGGTGTTTCAGTCATTATTATCTACTCGAATCGTGAACTCGACGTTATCGTACGTTACTATGAGTTTTATTGGCAAAGTTGTGTTAGTTACTGGCGCTAGCTCGGGAATAGGAGCTGCAACGGCTGCTGCGTTTAGCTCTGAGGGTGCTCGTGTGGCTTTAGTTGGAAGAAATGTAGCAAAGCTTTCTGCCGCCGCCAAAAAATGTGATAAATCCTTGGTAATACGCGCCGACGTCTCTAAAGATGAAGATTGTAAAAAGTTGATTGATCAAGTGATTGAAGAGTTTGGACAATTGGACGTCCTCGTTAACAATGCTGGCATTTCAACGTGGGGCAGTATTTTAACAGGAGATTTAATGAAAGCGTATGATGATGTCATGAACATTAACGTCCGAGCTGCTATACATTTGACAAAGTTGGCCGCGCCGCATTTGATTAAAACCCGAGGTAACATCGTTAATATTTCCAGTGTTGGAGGGCAAATGCCATCTTCATTACCACCTTTGATGACTTATTGCATCTCTAAAGCAGCATTAAATCATTTCGGTCAATGTGCAGCAGTGGAACTGGCACCTCATGGAGTTAGAGTTAACACTGTTAGTCCAGGGCCTGTTAAGACTGATATCATTGAAAATTCAGGATTCCCAGGAACATGGGATGATTTCAAAAAGGGTACAATTTTAGATAGAGTGTCAGATCCTGAGGAAATAGCGGATGTCATATTGTTTTTAGCTAGTGACAAAGCCAGAGGAATTACTGGTTCAAATTACTTAACTGATAACGGCACTTTGATAAAACGACGTTAATAACTACTAATGGTTATGAAATAAAAACAATGAAAACCACTCTCCCCTTTTTTATTATATCTATTTTTATATAATAAGCATTGTATAATAATACTATTGTATAAATTATTATTTTAAGTGAGATTGTCCAAAGACTAAATTTACAGAATTTATACAGCGTTAAATAAATGGATGATAAATAAATAAGTCTATGCCTCTATGGTATGCCATTCAATGTTGAAAAATTTGCGCCAAATTAAAATTAGTTTTAAGCGGTTTTTACTAGTATAACCAAATAAAAAATGTTGCTAAAAATTTAAATAAAAAACGGGTTTTGTGCGAAAATAATTCATGGTATGTTATGTAACCCAAAAATGTGAATCGCCCGTCGTTAAAACTTGTTTGGTGAATGATTATAACGTAATAAAATAGATTGAATTAACAAACATAGCTATCTAATGTAGTATCAAGGTCTCGAGACAATGTTATAATAAAAATATCTTGTAGATTATATCATACATAAATTTAAATATTAATAATATGATTATGGAATACCTTGTTCAAACATCAATGATTGATGTAAAATTATAAAGATACTAGCGACTCACCCTAGCTCCGCTCGGGTTGTCCCTAGTTACGCTTGAACGTTTAGTATAGATTTCTTAGAGATGAGATTTTTTCCCGCAGTAAAAAGTATCCTATATGTATATGTTGACCTGGATAACCAGCTATCGTTACGTCAAATTTCATCAAAATCTGTTCAGTGGTTTTCTCGTAATGCGTTCCCAGATCAGCGGATCTATATATAGGCTATTTGGGCTGTAGCCCTAGCCCCTAAGATATTACGGGCCCCTCTTAATAATAATGGTTAATATTGCGAATTTATAAAATAAAAAAAATATCTAAAATAAAAAATTAAGACCCTAAGATCAATTAAGAACCAAACAATAGCATTATCTTAATTTCATCTAGTACAGACAATATAGATTTTATAAAGACAAAATGAAAGTTAGTTAAGGCCTCTAAGAAGTGTTAGTCTAGGCCCCCCCACCCCAAATTAACAATCCGCCCCAGTCCCATACAAACAGACAGACAAACTAAAAAATCTAAAAACTATAGATTCGGCCTCTGTATCGATAATAATGACTATTTCAATAAGATTTTCCAAAAAATATTTAATGCACAGGTATGAATGAGTTAGAATATAATTATATGTACAGTTTTCAATTTTGATTCTGAATACGGTTTCAATCATGCAGAGTCAAGGTTTTTTGGTGATCAATAATAATAATCTTTGCAAACACAAAATATTTTTGCGATAGTATTTTTACCGACTGTAGTTTTTGACCTGTTTCTATGTACATAATATGTGTATGCCCGATTTTATGTTTCTTCGTAATTGCTAAGCAGCTTAACCGATTTTGATGATTTATACAATTTCTTATAAATTTTAAATTCGCTAGAGAAGTTTTACTTCAACCGCGTAAAAATTACGCATACATATTTTTTATAATTTATTTTCTTTGTTACTCGTATTTCTTTACGTAACAACTGGATGAATAATTTACGTCTATTTAAACTTTAGTTAACTAACAATAAGTAAAGTTTCACAATTATCATCTTTGAATTGAAGCGTATTTCAGCAGGTGTTTTATAAATCATAATCTACTATGGATACTACTTCTCGATCTATACTATATATTTATGCTCTCTATCTAGGTACATAATAAACATGCAGTACGAAGACAAATCATATAATTCTTATTTCCATATTATTGAGAAAATATAGGTCAGCTTTTATGTAATGGCTATACTGTGTAAATTCTAAAGAAAACCCCTTTCACTATTTGCACAATTACTTATAATAGTCATCATGTAACATGACAGGGCCTTTATAAGGCCAACACATTGCCTAGTTGTGAATAAAACTAATTTTAAATGAATAATCTTATTTTTAATTACATTACTGAAAATTACAAACGCACACCTAACATTTTTTTCATAAGTTCTGAATAAGATATCACTTAACCTTAAACTATTATAATGTAGGTACTTATAATAAATATAAAATAGTATTTATAATAATATCGTAGAAAATCTTAAAATCATCAATAATAGGTACTCTACAAATCAATTCCATTTCTATAAAATAAAAACAAAATAACGTAATGATGCTTATTATTAATCGATTTCCAATTTCTTAAAGGATCCTTCGACTCCACCGAAGATGTCCGTGATGGTTTTCGGCTTACCCGGTCTGAGTGACTCTGTTACTTTCCTGTGCTTGTCTTGCTCAAAATAATCCTTATAATTTCTTAGTCTTGATATGACCTCATCTGAAATCAAAACACGAACAATATTTAATACAGGTCGACCGCCCACCTTAGAAGTCAACTTAAGCCCAGTGCCAAATATAAAGGTCCCAGGGTAATTAAAAAAGTAATCTCTAAAAATAGTTCTTTTGCGAACTTAGACACCTAGAAATTGCTATTGTGGGGGGCCTTGCTACCAGGGTTCGCGAAACCCGTTCAATTTTTTAACCGGTTTTGGTTAATAACCCCAAACCGGAAAGCTTTTCGGTTTAAGGTTATGTTCTTTCACTGGTGAAAATCGGGAGAACGATTTTTGACGAATTTAGGTTCCATGCCAAAATTAATCGGTTAAAATGAGTTTTTGTGCGTTTACATTTGGCGCGTCTTTGCTAATGGCAAATGACTTAGCAAAAGGATGCATGTACGTTTCTTACTTATGAATGAATAAACTGATATATTTCGGTATCAAAACCAAAGTCCAACTTTTCTCTAAGAATAACAGTTAACCATTATTATTTCGGTTTACAAAACGGTTAAAGAACGAGCGACGACTTAGCCATTACATTACCGAAATATACTGCTTTTTAAACTGGTTTCGAGTCTTACTTTTGCGCGCTTGTACTTTGCCTGTGCGCCATAAGAAGGAATTTGTAAAATATTTAAAATTGTTTAAATTCAATAAAATCTAAATTTTATTCCATCCTAAGTTATACATGATAAAAAGGCCTTACAAGGTAAAAAGGCTTTTCACAAAAATCACGTTGACGTTATATGATTAACTAGCGACTCACTCTCGCTCCGCTCGGGTTCGTCCCTACTTACGTTTTAACATTTAGTATAGATTTCTCAGAGATGAGATATTTTCCCGCAAGAAAAAGTATTCTAAATTGACCTGGATTTCTAATTGACCCGGATAACCTTTATCATCATACCAAATTTCATCAAAACCCATTCAGTGGTTTTCCCGTGATGCGGTAACAGACAGACAAAAATTCTAAAAACTATAAATTCAGCCTCTGTATCGATAATAAAATCTATTTCAATAAGATTTTTCAAAAAATATTTAATGTACAGATTCGGCTTAGTTACAATTTTATTATATGTAGGTATAGGTTGTTGTCAATTAACATTGCTACGTGCCAATAATTAAATACTTATAAATTACTTACTTGTGTGTTCTTCTAAACTCATAGCATTTCCGCCACATTCCTTTGGCAAGGCTTCTATTGGCACAAACTGTTCTAATGTTTTAGAGCCCACAGTGTGGATGTGAAGCATCTCCATTAGCTCCTTCTTCATGAACGGTCTCATCATCATCAGAAGTTTGTCGATGAAAGATGGAGCGTTTATAAAGTGCAGTCCTTGGAGTTTTACTAATATTGCTTCCTGTAATTAATACCATACAAATTTATTTTACACTCCGTCTCAGTCAACTTTTCAAAGGCTTTTTAAATAAAACTATCTTCGCGGATTCATTTTTGAGTTTTGGTTCCCCGCGCTTCGAATGCTTTACAGCAATCATAGTCACGGGGGAAACTAAGGCTTAGACTTCTCAAACGTGTTATAGGTAGTAATCTACCTATTAATAAAATACTACAATAATTATAAAAATATAAAAATTGCACCAAAATATCTTTTTTTCAAAACATTTTTTATAAAACGTTAAGCCGGCTACACCCTCGATCAGGCAACCTCGATTATAAGATTTTTAAAAAGATTGTCTCCCAGTCCACAACAACCAAGTGTTACCAGGATCAAACCGCATGGTACACCTTATCAATACGAACATATCAGTTTCGTTAAAATAAGTATATTAGCAGTACATTAAAAATAAAATATTGGTAAGCTAACTAGCAAAATAAGATCATACCTGATACTGATAAAAAATATACTTATGTACGTTAATGTGTATGATCAACCAAACAAGTACTGAAAAATCATTTTTTTTTTTGACCTAATAAATCAATATTTATAAAGAGTCACATATACCTGTAGATAATATAAGAATTGTTGCAAATTATATAAGTCGATTTTCGCAAAATGTCCAAGGGAAACTCTATCAAAGTCAATTACTAGTAATAATCCTGGCCATGTACCTTCTTGTAACTGACATATCTCCAAAGTCATTAGAAATGCTCTGGAAAAAGAATGTCTTCATTATACGAATATCTCAGTCTGACTCACACGCCTAGGCTTACGTGGAATGAAACTAAATTAATATTAAATTTACATTATATTTTTACATAAGTAATTTGTTAGACTAAAAGTAAAATAAATGCTACAATATTTATTTTATTTATATATGTAGGGGAAATAGCGATCGTGCAGCTTGCTAAATAGTTTAAACAATTAATTTAATTTACTGAATATATGTTAAATATCTTTTAAGACACTTGATATTTTGAGTTACGATCACTAAAATTAAATTTCCATAACATCTTTGAGAAATAATATGAAACACAAACAATCTTATTTTTCATAAATACCTACTAATTGCGTAAAATTTTTATTTTAGTGTGTAAATATATTAGTAAAAACAACACCATATTCGGTGGTACAGAACTCTTAATGTGCGAGTCAAATCATGTTTACAATTTTGAAAAACATTATAGCCGTCAAATTATAAATATTAGTTTATAACATAGCCGAAGATTTTTTTGTTTTATGAACGCGGGCGAAGCCGCGGGTTTTGCTAGTACTTAATTAATATTTAAAAAAAAATAGTTCATTTGGCATTCATTTTCAATGTACCCGAAGGTCGTGGCAGACACGAGATCTGTGGATTTTTTAGAAAAGAATATAAAATATATTGTTATTATTATTAATTGCGTTCGTAATTGTCTATATATTTCGTAATTAAATTTAATAGCTGGTAAGTAACCTAACAATTTTCTTCATAACACAGACGATACCTACTAATAAAGAAGCGCCATCCAATGTAAAGAAATTAGACAGCCTTAATTTAGGCTATTGCTTGGGCGATTTTGGTTGGTATAGACGATGTTGGAAATGACGTTGAACCGCAATATTTACTGTTAAACTATTTTATTTTAAAATTATTTTAAAACGTAAGCAAGTATGTATATTGTATATATTAAAATATGTAAAATATAGCAAGAAATATTTTGTCTTTAATAAAACAAAGACAAAACCCGTTTGAGCCTCGCTAAACAAGTCGTACTGCGTAAAAAGTACATGTTAAGCAGCCAGAGACATATTTACATTTATAATTTCGCTAAGCAGTAGTTATATGCAGTATAAACTCTTTAGTTTTTATCTAATGGAATATTATTCACCAATCAATAAAATTACGTTTAGATTTAAGAACGTTATTACATGTTTACGTATTGATAGATGGCGCTGTACTTGTAAATAGTATCTACAAGTCTAGACAAAACGCATCTTATATATTTTCGTTATATCGGGTTTGTCTTTAAAATACTAACGAAGAAAATAAACATATTTTAAGGCGCCCCTTAAGAGTGCGGTCCTTGAGACCGTTACGATTCGGATTCTGACAGGTTATCTAGGAGCGGGATGACAAGATAATTTTCTATCGTGAGAAGTATAAACAATGAAACGATAGATGCTCAACTATTTTATAACGACGTAAATGCCAAAACAGTTTTTAATCCACTTTAAATTAATTAAGCAACTAATCGAAAAATGATACTCTGTAACAAAAGAAATACTTCTACGCTTCCTGACAAAACAAAAATCTTACAAAAATAGTAAGCAGTTTCTGAGATATATAGCAATATGTGTGCAAAACATGTATTTTTCATAAAAATATATTATCGAGAAAATTTTCATCAATCGTGTTTTCATGTTTGGCAATTCAAGATGAAAAACTTACGTATAATTTCCTTAAATATCAAAGTGGTAACTTTTACAGATTCTGAGATAAATAACAATGTCTAGGCACAAAATTGTCATATGCACACTCTTAAACTGAAATGCTAACGTGTACGTAAATTTTTGTTCTTTTTTTCCTTTATTATAAAGGATAAAAATGAAAAAAAAAATAGTACACATACTTTTTAAAAACTTACTTTACACATTCTCCGAAATTGAACACTTTGAGATCCGAGTTCATGACGTGAGAGAAGAAAATCTTGTATCCTTCTTTGGTGGTCATTGATAAAGGAGTAAGTAATCTGAAAGTAAAATAATAATTCGCCATAAAACCAAAATCAAATTGTTTAAAAGCTCTTGGTTTTCATTTCTGGTTGCTATTTTCATAGATTTAGCTAAGAAAGGCATGTAGGACCGTAGGTACTTCGTATACTAAAACCCTTAGAAGTTTAGAATTTCAGGTAGAGATTGAGTAAGCTTTGTGATGATTTCAAAACTGATAACTTTTATTCAAAGTTATTTTCACATAAAGAATAAATTGTAGATATTATACAAACTTTACTACAATCTACACATATAATAAAATTGTAACTAAGCTGAATCTGTACATTAAATATTTTTTAGAAAATCTTATTGAAATAAACATTATTATCGATACATAGGCCAAATCTATAGTTTTTACAATTTTTGTCTGTCTGTCTGTCTGTCTGTTACCGCATCACAAAATAACCAATAGAGGGATTTTGATGAAATTTGGTATGGTGATAGCTGGTTATCCGGGTCAACATATAGGATACTTTTTACCGCGAGAAAATGTCTCATTTCTGAGAAAAACTACAAAAGCTGCAAGGTAAGAGTATACTAATATGTAAAACCTAAGAATTTGGTTTTTGATCATCTGAACGCGGGCCGAGCCGCGGGCAATCTTATCAATAATAATGTTTATTTCAATAAGATTTTCCAAAAAATATTTAATGTTCAGATTCGGCTTGGTTACAATTTTATTATATGTATAGATTACATTTATATATAGATGTATAGTTAGTTAATTATCTAGTTGAAATAAATATACAACAATGTAAATTGAACCTTAAATGAAATGCGTAAAGTTGTTTTCATAAAAAAATTAAATTAAAAGCGCGCTTAAATGTTCAGATGAGCGCTCATTCAGTGAGGACATTTTTGTCGCTGATTGTGTATGTAGTACTTTTTGGGTCGATGTATATATCGCAATAAACATTTATAGTGGGTATTTATAAATCAAGGCTCAAGTGTTTGTCTGGTTCAATATTAAACTACAAGCAGTGTCAGAAACTCTATATTTCTACACTTTGCCAATTAATACTAGCAAAGAAATATTTATACGTACATGTTAGTTACAACTTGTTCCATGTGGCCATCAACTTTACGATCTTTGAAGATGTTGAAGAGACTGTGTAGGGTTAGGTTTAGGTCTAGAACTTGTTTAGCAAAACCTGTGCTACAGTTGCAGCAGTGAAATACGAGGATTAAGTCCAAATCTAAGGAAAGAAATATATTTAACGTGTAATAGGTATATTTAATAATGTAATAGGTATATTTAGCAAACCCGCACTTGGCCAGCGTGGTGGACTATGGCCTGATCCCCCTCGAGGGGAGGCCCGTCCCCTGCAGTGGGACGTTAAAAAGAGCTGAATACAATACAAGGTATATTTAAGCCAAATCAAAGTTGTATATTTAAATAATATTTAATATAAGCTCTTTATTGTACACACAAAAAGAAGACCAAAAAAAAAACAATACAATAGCAGGAAAATGCACAAGAGGCGGCAGTAGAAATGTAGGAAATAGCAAATTCTGATTAAAAAAAGGTAATAAATATATTACGTTGGGACATGAACATACAGTAAGTACCATCTAGTTCCATGATAAGCTACGAAGCTTGTGTTATGGCTACCAGATAGTTGATGCACTATATATATATATATATATATATATATATATATATATATATATATATATATATAATTAAATTGCTTTAAATGCATACATATTATAAATATATACACAAATGACTGGAGTACAAACATTCGTGCTCATCACACAAATGAATGCAGCCAGCGGAGCTCGAACCCGCGACTGTTGGCAAAAAGGGTTACTACAAACTGAGCCAAACATGTCATCAAAAATCTTCTCCACTGGAGGAATTTTGCGCTGTTAGCTGAAATACAAGTTTCCTAGTGCAGCTTCATTCACATAATAGCGATAGGTATTGTTTTTGGGTTATATTATAAAAAATTTTTTGGATTATTATTATTATTGAAATTCGTCCCGCTCCTTCACCGTGAAGCAGTTACATACATACACAGTATGCACATACAAACTTTTACATTAACAATAATATGTAGTATAATAAGACTTAGAAGCATCGAACTCGCTTTTGTCGCCATAATCCTACAAAGACAAAACAATACGGTAATATTAAACTTTATAATGTATACGGCTTTAGATGTTGTTGTACGACTAGTTAAGTAATTGTATGGCAATTACCATGACTCGTTATTTTAATGTACGTTGTCATCCTTTGTAATAGACCACTGTCGTTTTAGACTGTTTGCAAACTCGTGACTCTGTATGATATTGCGTATAAAAGAAGTTCAAATGAACCTATTAAATTATGGGATACTAGAGGCTCATCCTCGCTTCGCTCGGGTTCGCCTCTAAAAAAACAAAAACAAATCTATCCCTTGGGATTCGGGAACCATATATTTTTCCGGGATAAAAAATATCCTATGTGTTATTCCAAACTATAATCTATCTATGTGCCTCTTATCCAGATCCGATAAGCCGTTTTGGCGTGAAAGAGTAACAAACATCCATACATACTCATAAACTTTCACATCAATGTCTATATATTATAATACATTTGAATAAAAATGAATCACCGAAATGTATGTACGCGCATAACTTCCGATCGACCGCACCAAATTGGATAATTCTTTTTTTGGTTTTGTTATTGTCAGGAAGTTTTACATAGAAGAAAATGAAAAGATTTTTTTTTTACAAATAGGATTTTTTAAATCTCATGATATGAAAAGTGTGTGAGTAAAATAGTTTTTATTCCGGATATCATCCCTTAAGGCGGTGAGAATTGGGATAAAAGTTTGCATGGGGAAGCAAGCTAGGGACGAATCCGAGCGAAGCGAGGGTGAGTCGCTACCCGCTAGTTTATAATATTTATACAGATATTAGTATGTATTCAGCCCTTTTTAATGTCCCACTGCTGGGCATGGGCCTCGCTTCAATACGAGGGGGATCAGGCCATAGACCACCACACTGGCCAAGTGGCAGTTAGCGGACTTCACATATCTTGCTAGGTTCCCTTTTGATATGCAAATTTTATCACGATGTTTTGCTTCACCGTTAGACAAATGATAATGTTGGAAATTGAGCACGTAAAGCCGTCGGTCCTGCGCCTTAACTCTCACTGGTCGTGTCGAGTAGTCGTCCCACCAGAGTATGAGAGTGACAGGAATATAGAGTGCACTTGTGTCTGCGCGCACACTTGTGCACTATAATATCTCCTTTTTTTAACGTTGGGAAATGCATTTATGCACGAGGTGTGGGACTCACCGGCGAAGACAGTACTACGCACTAAAACCCAACAAAACCTTCCCCCGTCTTAATGGGGCGTCGCAGGATCGCTTACGCTTTCAACTACGAGACCCCGACGGCAGGTCTGCCGAAGCAGACCACAACAACCACGGGGTTGCTCCAAGGTCCACTCTGCTATCAGAGAAGTACCAGGAGCAACCCGCATGGTACACCGCCCTCCGAAGAGGGCCACCTCCCACCGCCCACCAAAGCGGGCCACCTCCCTGTGCGTTTCTTGGCTTCGCGCCCGGCTGGATTGCCGGGCACTACTGAGCCCCCCCACCACGACAAGGTGAACGCACGTAGGGGGGGACTATAATATCTCCTGCGCAGTTGGCTAGTCTCAAGGAGATTGGCCGCCGTGGCCGGAATCGGCTAGGAGAACATCATCAATGTTGGAAATAGGAGGCTAAACATTAAGATATATATATCAAAACAATGTACTAGAAAATTGTAGGTTTTAAACAGATCTACAGAAAAATCTGCAATATCAAAGGTATAGTACAAACACACAAAAGTGTTACTTTTTTATCTATTCAAAAGGTAAGTACCTAGTCTAGCTAACTTACATAATATATGTAATCTTAATATAGATTAGATGTTTTAATATTTTCATGTATATTGATCAGTATTGATAAAGTATGAACCGGTATTTAAAATTAATCTTTATTCTTAAAAAAATCTTTGTTTAGTAACCTTGGATGCTGGTATAATTCACTTCCTTATTTTTTACTTCCATATAACAATTTATATTACTTTATAATTACTTAATTACCATTGTAATCTTTAGTTAAATGTCATTCTACTTCATAGATCATGACTTCTTCGCTAAGTACCTGTACCTACTTGTTACTGGTTTGATATTAGCCATGTCCATATTCCCAGGGACAGAATTAGAAATGTGGCTATGTAAAAATTATATAATCACAAAATGGATGGTGAATTTCATATACAAAATAAAACTAGAAATGTATTGGTCTAATCCAAAGAAAAGAAATAAAAAAAAAACGTATTTGTGTACTTATTTACGCACGTAAGAAGTTATACTTCTTTGGCGTAACAAAACAAAAATAGCTGGAGATTTCATCTCGTATGTCACAACTCTGTTTACAAAAAATAAAATACAAAAAAAGCAATATAATTTCTTATTCTCCGCTGATATAAAACACGTGTTTATTACAACAACGTGTTTATACAACGTTGAACAGATATCGTTACCTCAGACCAATAAAATACTTTTTTATTGGTCTGAGATCGTTAATTTGTAAAAAGGTGCGCTGTACTAGTTACTATGTCCCGGACAGTTGGCTAGTCTCAGTGAGTGGCTGCCCGTAACGAAAATCGGTTATCAATATTTGAGAAACTACTTCGAATATAGTTATTAGTTTTCAAGGTTACAGAGAGACAGTTATCAGCTAACTTTATCATGTCGCTTTCAGCTAACTTCATCATGTCGCTTTTTGGATGTCGATGTGCGCGCGCATCGTAAAAATTTTACTCTCATATTTTTTTCCAAACGTGCCAAAAGAAGTGTTATACTTACTACTACTAAATTAAATTCTGTGATTACGAAATAACTACCTCACCACATATCAAGCACTACAAAGACAGATATCTCATAAAACCTAGAAGCAATATGAGAAATATTATTTAATAATTATATTTATAATTAATTTTATCTAAGAGTTCATTGCTATAATAAATTACAAACAACTAGTATTAATAATACCGTATTATCTTAATTACATACATAATTCCTTTTCATTGAATTTAATTTTTCATTACTAGTACTGCATTGTGACTTATATAATTGGTGTTAACTCAGAAGAGGGCTTGGTACCGATTTAAAAAAACGGTTTATTTCGGTAATGCAATGGTTATATCATCGCTCGTTTTTTAACCGGTTAATGAAAACGAACGATTTAGTAAACCGAAATAATAATGGTTAATAATGGTCATATTTAGAGAAATATTGGGTTTTGGTTTTGATACCGAAATAAACCGATTAATTCATTCACCATTTTATATAAGTAAGAAACGCACATGTATAATTCTATGAAGCCATTAATCATTAGCAAAGATGCGCCAAATGTAAACGCACAAAAACTCATTTTAACCGGTTTTGGTCATGGAACGTAAATTCGTAAAAAAACGTTCTCGTTTTGTCGAAAAGCCTTTGCCATGGACGAATAGGTTAATTCGTTAATGGCCTTTGCGTTAGTGTTCAATGACCAGAAGCGGTTTAAAAATCAAACGCGTTTCCGAGCAACAAAAAAATAAATTAACAGTCATTGCCATCTATAAGGCATTATGCATGACAAGCGACTTATCCTAGCTTTGCTTAAATACGTCTCTAGATTTCTAGTCATTATCTGTCTGTGTTCTAAATTTTAAGCAAATTCGTCCAGCCATTTCAGCGTGAAGAAGACGTTTCAGCGCTAAGAAGAAGTGACAAACGTACACATGGACAATAACAATTTTGACAAGATTTTAACTTGAACAGATATCTTAAATAAATGTCTTAAAACCTTAGTCTCTTTCGTGATTGCTGTAAAGCAATCGAAACGCGGAAATCAAACATCAAAATAAATCCGCAGTAAGAATCCTAAAAGATAGTTTGGCTTAGTTTGTAGTGACCCTACATGCTGTGCCAGCGGTCGCGGGTTCGAGTCCCGCTGCGGGCATTCATTTGTGTGATGAGCACGAATGTTTGCACTCCAGTCATGGGTGTTTATATTTATAATATGTATGTATTTAAAGTTATATATGTGTAGTGCATCAACTATACGGTATCCATAACACAAGCCTCGTAGCTTACCATGGAACTAGATGGTGCTGTGTGTTAATGTCCCAACATATTATTATTATTATATTATTTAAAATGATATAAAATATAGTTTTAGTTAAATGTTTGCGTATGTATAAGAAAGTATTACGTTAAACAGATATCGTTACCTCAGACCAATAAAATACTTTTTTATTGGTCTGAGATCGTTAATTTGTAAAAAGGTGCGCTGTACTAGTTACTATGTCCCGGACAGTTGGCTAGTCTCAGTGAGTGGCTGCCCGTAACGAAAATCGGTTAGGAGGACATTATTATAATATGATTTTATTACAATTAATTATTCTCTGTTAGCGGCTTTGCCTACCTTTATAAACACACATTTATTTAACCCCTAAATTATGAATATGACAAGGTAGTGGTAGCCAAATGATGAGGCGCTCACAAACCACAACTCCGTGCGAGACTCTAAACACTTGTCTTACGGTGAATGAAAACATCGTGAGGAAAGCTGCATGTCTGAGAGAACGAAGGAAGTTTTGGAAAGACTTGCTTAGTCCGCCAACCCGCACTTAGCCAGCGTGGTGGACTATGGTCTGATCCCCCTCGCTTAGAGGGAGGCCTTTTTTTTTTTTTTAACGTTGGGAAATGCATTTACGCACGACGTGTGGGTCTCACCGGCGTAATACAGCCAGTACTACCCACTAAAACCCAACAAAACCTTCCCCCGTCTTAATGGGGCGTCGCAGGATCGCTTGCGCATTCAACTACGACGCCCCGACGGCAGGTCTGCCGAAGCAGACCACCACAACCATGGGGTTGCTCCACAGTCCACTCTGCTATCAGAGAAGTACCAGGAGCAACCCGCATGGTACACCGCCCCCCAAAGAGGGCCACCTCCCACCGCCCACCGAAGTGGGCAACCTCCCTGTGCGTTTCTTAGTTTCGCGCCCGGTTGGGTCGCCGGGCACTACTGAGCCCCCCCACCACGACAAGGTGAACGCACGTTGGGGGGGGGGGGCTTAGAGGGAGGCCTGTGCTTTGCAGTGGAACATTAAAAAGGTCAGAATGCAATGTGTATGACCCCTGCTCTATATAACATAACAGAACAACGAACTAATATAAGCAGTATAATGATGTGCACTCACCATGAACGAATTAGCTACTAATTCGTTCATGGCACTCACTAATGAACCACCAATGTGATGTGACAAGGTAAAAAAAAAATGTAAATGAAATTCTTTCTATCATTTTCAAGCAAAGAATGAAACAGACAGATAAAACAATTCTAATGCCTCTTTATTTTGCTTTATTACTTTTCAACTAACTAACTCCGTGTGACAGTGTATGTACTCGTACATGATAAGTGATGTACGGCTATGGCACATTGTGATGTCGTGAGTTCTATAACTATCACCAGTACACAAATATGGGCACGCTATAAAATAGTTTTAGTCTGCAAGGAATCTGCAAGATACTCAACTTAAATACTACAAAGATATCCTATTTAGGCTTATTGAAATGGGCTCAAAGGTGATTGTTTTTTTTTTATTTAAGAGCTATTGTAATTAAAACTATTATATTATCAAGAATATGATGCTTCAAAAAGATACCTAGTGATCTATCTCTTAAATTAAATAACAATATCTCTTAAATTAAATAACAAGAATCGTTTTTAAGACTGAAAACATGTTATTTTTAACGTAGGAACTTCAATTAAAGGGACAAGTTAGTAGTAAGCATTAGTGCTTAAAAGGCTTGTCGAATAAAATGTTATTACTAGAACGTGTCAACACTCTCCGTGCTCAATGCTTATATAATATATGTATGAATATTATACATTTTAGACCTAATATGGTAGAAACAAGATTCATTCGTGACTCACCGGTTATATAATTCTCAGGTAGATGCGGTTGAGTTTTTAGCCATTCCCGGAGGTTGGCGATGTCTTGTGGCTTTATGTCTGGATTTTTTTTGTACTCGTCCTCTAAACATATTAGCTTCATATTCGGTTATTATATATCTGAAAAAAAAAACACAGTTTTATTTTTACAGATTTTTAAATATTTTTTTTATTAATTGTTAAATAAATTAGAAATTAATTATTTTCGCGACGTAAAGGAGAGTAATGAAAGGTGAGTGGACCATGGAAGGCCATGCTCCTTGTAAGGCCGATTATATAAAAAAGTCGTAGTTTTATTTTTTACCATGCGGTGATTCATACATCGAACTCAAAGACTCAGACGCGGCGAGTCGCTGGCACTGCTGGTTTGTGAATGCGGTCCCTCGCTTTGTTGACTTCTTTCGTCAACGTTAAAATAATTATAATACGCGCTCACACCAAAACGTTAGTTTTTAAGTAGATCAACTATTTGATTTAATGGAAAAGGATTTGTTATTGTACTAAAGAAAAATTATATAAATTTATTTCAATTTTAGTTCAATAATTCAATTAAGTAAAATTCAATTCAATTTTAGTAAAAAATATCATAAAAAATTGACAGTTGGGCTTGTTAAGGCACGAGGACCTTGCTAGGAGCATTTAGGAATCACGAAGATATTAATAATTGTAGTTTTTTTAGTTGTAAATACGTACCGGGAAAGGTAAAACAATTTATAAGTTTATTTAAATTTTTTTTAAACTCATTTTGGCCTTACACAGACCCATAAGAAGGCTATTATGGTCGGTTTTAATTTTTTTTATTTCATTATAAAGATTACTGCTACTTATTTGATATTGATATAATTGACAACATTATATTTTTAAAAGATTTTCACGAATACATTCTTAGTTTTACGATAGTATACCTTTTTATAAAAATTAGGCATAACCAGATATTTTGATTGTCTCTACGTTAGTTTTAAGTTAAATTAAATTAAACGACAGATTTGTTATATTGGCCTTGTATAGAGCCTTGTTCCTTGCAATGTCATTTTGGAAGAGTTTAATAAAACTTAAATTTAATAAATGAGGAGCTTCTTTTCAAAACTTGACTATTCCACTTTTGATGAAACTTATTCTTTTTTATTTTTTGTTTGGTAACATTCAAATTTACACTCCGCGAAAATAAATTGGCCCAAAACTTGATATTTACTACAGAAAAAAATAGATTTCAAGACAGATTCCACGTCAAAATGACATTACCCATTTCAAATACACATTTTTGGAACAAAAAAATGTAGTGTTTGGAACAAAATATGTAGGTAATTTCCAGAAGTTATGTAACTATTTTAATCTAAATTGCAACAAAATAAAAGATACCAGGAAACCTTTATGAAAAATGAGATTTCTGATACCTAATTAGTATCAGGAAAACAAGATTAATCCACAGTGGTTTGAATAAAAAAAAGAATGTTCCTCTAGAGCAGATAACAAAACTTGATTATTCCAATCAGCCGCGTCAAAACTATATTATCTCATTTCAAATTTTGGATTTATTCAAAACATATTATTGTTAAATTTTTGAATTCTGTACAAAGCAATGACTATTGTTATCGTCTACAATAATGCATCAAAATTTCGGGTTAAAAACATGGCTGCATACGTACAAAACTATTTTCTCATATTGTCAAAAACACAAAAAGTGGAATAGTCAAGTTTTGAAAAGATCCTCCTCAAATAATCATTAACTCTGAAATTAAATAAAATGTTTTATAAGTTACATAATAGAACAAAGAGTTACTTAATGATTTGTTTTTTTCATTTATGCAATAAATAAAAGAATAATAACAGCTGTTTATTTGTTAGAGTGGCCATCCATGGCCCACCTACCTTATGTATGTGTGTTTGTTCCTATGTGGCGTTCTAGAGACCAAACGCGAAGGCCGATTTTGATGATTCATACGTCGTTAGATTTGTCTTGATAATACGAGTGTCATAGGCTATATCAAAATGAATAAAAATTAAAATAATAGATTTCAGGCGCCAATTTGTGTCTTTAAAAAATATTGTCCAAGCCAATCGAGTAGGCTATCAAAATAAGGGTGTTTAAGAGGCGATCATAAAAATATAAACAACTTATATATGTTTAAAAGTAATTTAGGATAAAAAATTGCTAAATATTACTTCAAATGTCTTATTGGCAAAAACTAAAAAGCTGTAAATAATAAAATCTATACAGATAAATAAAATAAGTGTAAAATAAGTGTCTGTTTGTAATGTCAAAATAACAGCTTTTTACTAAATTCATATGGATGTATACACGGTACATATACCAAAACAACATTTTTTACAATTTTTCTCTGTCTGTCTGTCTGTTTGTTCCGACTAATCTCTGAAATGACTGGACCGATTTTGACGGGACTTTCACTGGCAGATAGCTGATGTAATAAGGAGTAAGTTAGGCTACCTTTATTTTAGAAAAAAAAAATAGGGTCCCACGAAAAAAATTAAAACGATGAAACGTGTATAATAATAGTGATGATCTAATCATCAAAAAGAATTTAGAATTTAATAAGTTGTTTTTATATGAGCACGAACAACTTGTTACTTTGTAATACAGATTCCTAATTGAAATATGCTCTTAAGAACAAGATATTGTTTTACGACTGTTGTTTTTTAAGTACCTTACTATAATAAAATAAAAATATGCTACTACGCCTTATAAGACGTAAATGCTTTATGCAATTTTATTAACACAATTCTGTTAATAAAACCATCACGTTTAGTAGTGACTATACAATATACATATTATGGAAATACGTAGCTCATTGCATTTTTTTTACTAAAAACAGTCACAAATGTACTTTTAAAATTAGGAAAAAATACTTAAAGTCGCGTATGATGATGAAAATTGTGCCCGTTGTAAAAAATAATTAAAATTTCTTTAAAAAATGTTATATATACGTAGTTATTATTAAAAGATAAAAAAAATCTACAATAAACAAAACAGAACAAGTAGAGATTTGTGTTCATGATAAATCTTTTTTTTCATGATAAGTTTTTAAACTATAATCTATTTTCCATTGCATTGTTTAGTTTGATCTGTTATAAACGCGTGTTTTTGTAGGTTTTTGAGTTATTAATATTTTTAATAAATTGTTGTATTGTCATCGGTCCTTGTGCAAAGTTTCAGTTCAATCTGAAATTTGAAGTCGGTGAAAATCGCGTTCAAAAATTCCGTTACATAAATAGATAGATACAGGTGAAGTTAATACAAGCGTGTAAAAAATTAAATAAAGTATGACTTTAGCTTTATAACAACCGATGTCCGATAAACATAGTCTTACATATAATAAAATTCTAATGAGTCGAGTCTGAGCATATTCATAATTTTTAGATTTTAACATTTTTTGGAAAATTTTATTGAAATAGTCATTATTATCGATACAGAGGCCGAATCTATCTTACGCACACAGTCACGACGCCCCGACAGCAGGTCTGCCGTAATAGACCATGGGGTTACTCCAACGTTCCACTCTGCCTTCAAAGAAGTACCAGGAGCAACCCGCATGGTACACCGCTCACAGAGTTAGGCCGCCTCCCAGTGCGTTCCTTGGCTTCGCACCCGGCTGGTTTGCCGGACGCTTATGTGCCCCCTCCCTACCCTAATCCTATCCTAAAGTCTTAATAAAGACCTACAGAAAAATCTGCAATAGCATAAGACTTTCTCCTAAGGTACACTCACAATAACTATTCATAATCTATTTAAAACGTACCGAGGGACGCACCCGAGCGAAGCTAGGATAAATCACTAGTGTTATAAACACAATAGGCGTCTAAAAACGTACCCAAAAGAGACGAGATTAAGTCGCTAGTAAAAATAAATGTATCAACATTGAAGTATTCTTTATAGATTTTAAGTATCCTATATATCTTACTTTTTTCAACCGACTTCAAAAAGGAGGAGGTTCTCAATTCGACTGTATGTTATTTTTTTTATGTTTGTTACCTCAGAACTCCGTCGTTTATTAACCGATTTGGACAATTTTTGTTTTGTTTGAAAGGGTATACTTCCAGATTGGTCCCATTTAAATTTCAAAAAAAAATACCACCCCTAAGGGTGGAAAAACAACTAATGATTAATTTAACCTACTTTTAATTGTCATATTGACTTGAAACTTTGCAAGTATTTCTATTTCCGTTGATAGTACAGTGATTCGGTGTTGTTGACCTGATTTGATGGCAAGGCCAGAAGGTGGAACTCTTCAACGGCTAATAGTAGATACTTTGAGTTTGGGCTTATTTTGTTTGATTTGACAAGCCTAACACGTTAGAATCCTTACTTTGCTACTATTGTCTACACTAAAAAGGGAAAAATAAAAACTTTTTAACAAAAAAATTTTTAACCGACTTCAAACAAAAGCACTAAAAAGTAAAAAATAACTGATTGGTAGTTTTCATTTACTATACATACCTAATCAAATATTTTCGAAACCAGTGCCAGCCCATACAAAGCAAAGCACACCGACTTCGAAAATATTTGATTAGGTATGTATAGTAAATGAAAACTAAAAATCAGTTATTTTTTACTTTTTAGTGCTTTTGTTTGAAGTCGGTTTTTATTTTTTTGTTAATGTTGGATTTAAGTTTTTATTATAAAATAGATAAAAAGTGACTTTTTATAAAGAAAACAGGTTTGCGTTTTTCGAAATCTTTTTTATTTCGTATGTATGTACTGGTAACCTTAATATTAAAATTTTGCTAATTAATACTTTTCATTGGACACCAAAACTTGTTTTTTATACTTGTTTTATGTCAGCTATATGTCGCAATTTTGATTATTCTGTGTTATAACCAGCAAAACAGCTAGACACTTCCTAAGATACCTCTCTTGTTAATATACGACAAATAGTTTATATGATACAATCGAAAAAACTATTTTTTGAAATTCTAAGGAGGACGAAATTTTCCGGGGCAGAGGCTGACTGCTACCGGACGCGTCCCCCGGGTGGCGGATAGGGGTACACCACTCGCGACTGTTTGGACCCGACAGGAGCTGGTGGTACCGGAGCAATCCGGCGCGGACCAACAGCCAGGAGGGGAGGGGGGAGCGGCGTCAGGAGG